TATAAACTTTCTCTGGCCTTTTGAGCTTCTCAGAACTTGCTGATTAACAGACTTGGCAAAACCATTATTTGTCATGTACATGATTTCTGAGTTTATTGGAACATTTTGCAAACATTTTTAGGATCCATGATGGTTTCAGCTGCATCTTTTCTTGATATTGGAATCATGTAGAAGTATATAATGTATGACACTTTTTATTGGTAAAGGTCTCTGATTCTTATTATAATTTTTGGGTCATGCATATCTTTCTTGCCCATATATGGTGCATCCAGGAGTTCAGCAACAATTCCTAGTTGATAGCATTTTTTTGTTGGAGAGGTCATGTCAATGGATGATTATGATTTCTAGTATGCTTTAGGATTTGTGATTGATAATGTCTTTTATGATCATGAATGCATTTTTAAAACTTTTCTAAACTATCCTTTGCAGGCTATTCCTATCCCATTGTCTAAAGCATCCAATGTCAAGCGGATTTTCAATTTAGCATCCAAGAAATTAGGATTTGAATTTGCAACACTGAATCCTGGTATGGTTTGTCTTTGGATATATTGGTATATAGTTTTTTTAAAATTAGTCAAGTTAAGACAGTTCCAATTTTTTTACATTATGAAAATTTTTCAAGAACAGCATAATACATCTCTGATGGTGAAGTCCATTATTTCAAACTTATTTGCTGAATCTGACAGTTTAACTCATCATTTACTACATGAGAGTGTTTTATGTAGCTTAGATGAGTCACTGAATATTTGTGATTATGAGGTGCACTTAGGCAATTGGATTCCTTGATATTTCTCTTCATATTATAGGCCTAACATTTGATGCAAGACCTAGATTCTCTTGAGGTCCAATCCTCTCATGGGCTAACACTCAAACTATCATCTACTTGAGTCCAAGGTGTGAAACAAAACATTCCTCTCATGGATGCATGACTTTCATCGAATAGAGGTCTTTTAGGCCAAAAGAATCACTATGTGGATCAGTTGTTGGTGGCACAGTTATACAGTACTCTCTCTAAATTCTGCCTTTTTGGAGGCTTTATACAACCTTCAGTTCATAATGCTGAGAAAGCTTTTGATACTAATGCTGAGTGTGAGGTCATCAACGTTACATATAGACAGGGGGGCTTCTCTGACTTCTGTTTTTGTTCCCAGCATTTTTAGCGTATTCTACTTGTGGTAACCTACTATCTCTTGATCAATGTTTAGAGATCTGGCAAGACTGGTTGGTTCAACCTGTTTACTAAAGAATGGTCCAATGCATGTTGGTTCCAGATGGGAAAAACCAGCAACAATGTTAAGCGGTCAAAGTGTTTGAAATGGTCAGTTCAACCAGTGAACCATCAACAGGGAGCTGGTTGGTTTCTGAATAGGCTTCAACTGTACTTTTGGTTTGACCCATCCTCCTGAGACTACCACTTAGAACCTCAGGTCTCTCTCTCTTCCCCCTTCTCAACCTGGCTATATAACTTCCAGTTGTAATGATGACAACAATGATAACAAGTCATGATTGTCCAACCATTTGGGTTCGGCTATGTGATTTTTTTTTATGGAGCATTATTTAGGGCAATAAAATTTCAATCTGTACCAGTTTAATTAACTTAAAAAAGGTCTGCTTATTAAATTCCTGAGCCACCTCTTACTATTAATTGTTTTATTTTATTGACAACCAATGTACTCTTAATTAAATAACTAGAGCTGGCAATACATGTTTAAATATTTGATATTATATTTTGTTCATATGTTAAGTTTTATATCGTGTTTTTGGTTTAAATTTTTCTTGTTTTCTTGGTAACTAGAGGTGGCAAAAAAGAAGATTTTTTTTGGTCTGAATGTCTGATGATGTCTTTTAAGTATTACTTTTGATACTTCTGCAGATGGTGACTCTACCCAAGGTAGGCAACTATTGAGATCTCAGTTAAACAGCACCTCAAGTATGTTCTACGTTGAACTTCCTGAGGGTGCAATTTTGTTGCATGTTGTTGATGACAAGGAAAAGTTCCCAGTCCAATTTGGACGTGAGGTAAGTTGCACAAAAGCATATTGAATTCTTGATTTGTCCTTGTATTTTTTCCCCCTTTTATATTTATATCTGGAATTCTTAATTTTTCCTTATAGTTTTTTTCCCTATATATATTTATATACATGTTATTCACACACGGACATTGCACACAAAGGTGTGCGTGGCTTTGGGATCAAAACCCTGATGTTGCCAATGGGCACCGGATTCTCCAGCCATCCATGTAACTGGATAGTGGCAGCCCTGTACATGTAGTGGTTGTAATAGGTTCAACTTGTTTTAGTTGCTCTAAAACCCTCCTCCTTGTGTCTTAGCGGGCTATGATCTACTGATGATACAGGAAGGGATTTAAAGTGTGAGACATGATACCAAAAATCGGTTTAATCGGTAAAAATAAGCTAGTGTACTTGCAAAGTGCCAATGTTTCCAGTGCTTTAGGATTTGACTGTTCTTATGTATTCATGTTGCTGTCTGCTTCGTGTCTCCGTGGTAATAAAGCTGTTAAAGTTCTGCAGGTGATGGCAGGCTTATTAAATATGGCAGATCGAGCTGATTGGAGGAATTGTAAGCTTAGCAAGGAAGATGAACTGCAAATGGTGGAAGAATTCAAGAATGGGTTTAGAGAATTTGATCCAGCTCAATGATTCTAATACAAGTCTCCTTTTGTCTGAGGTGTTCGACGTGCTTATTGGTTAAAGAGAATAGCAAGCAGGCATGCTTGAGCTGTTTGATCAAGAGATCGCTATAATATGAGAAACATTCCCAAGGCCTGCCAACGTTAGTCTTGTGGCATTTCCTTTGGTGGTGGCCATGAATTATCTTACACTATGATGAAAGCCTATTTGCATCTGCTATTTGACCAGTTGTGTCATTTAACCCTGTAAAACTAAGTGCTACTATTTCTATTTTATTCTTTTACGAGAGACAATACAGCCGAGTTAAATTAACGTTGTATTGATGTTTCGTCATAATACTATCCGTTTCAAGTTGAAATGTTAACATTTGAGATATGTTCTCGTGGTTTGTAGGATGCCTTCCTTCGGAGGGGTCAGAGTCGGGAAATTCTCCTCCCGACCTCAACTTGCGTGCAGGGGTTGATGAGAAAGAAGCAAGCAACAAAACTCATAACTCAACTCGACTCGATGCGCACTTTCGCTCCCTGAGTTTTCGCGTGAGCGACCTTGTAGGTCACTTGCCAAGAGAGAAGCTTCCTCCCGATCTCGACTTGTGTGCAGGGGTTGGCGATGAAGAAGTAAGCAACAAAACTCATAGCTCAACCCGACTCGATGTGCACTTTCGCTCTCTGAGTTTTCGTGTGAGCGACCTTGTAGGCCACTTGCCAAGGGAGAGGACGATCCTCAGGGAACGAGGCTCGAACTCGACCTAATCCGATGCATGCTCGCCCTCAGCACCCAAGCATCCATGTGGGCGACCTTACACATCCAAGACTGGATCGAGCTGTACTGACACATCGACAACGCCGTAAAAGTTCATCAACATATATATATATATATATATATATATATATATATATATATATATATATATATATATATATATAAAAGGTTCTTAATTTGTGTAATAATAAACTTATAGTTTAACGTGTCGATATACATTTGTAATTTTTCCAAATTATTAAAGGGGGTTTAGCGGAGGAGGCGGGCGGCGTGGGCGAGATACGGGCGGTGGAAGTCCCTCGTCCTCGTTGTCTTCGACTGGCTCGCCAACCACAACCCACTCTGGCGCCTCCGACTTGGGCTAATCGTCCCCACTACTGCTCTTTCTTCCTGCCTTCGCAACTATGTTTTCCTTTTTCATTTCTTGTTTCGTTTGTGCGGTAATCCATGGCCGGATGGGTCTTGCATTGTAGGGTTTTCATCCTTCTCATCTATGGCTTTTGGTTGGTCAATGGTGGCCAGATGGTCTTGCGTCTTCGTCCCTTGTTCTGCTTTCCCGGCCGGCCGATCTCATGTCCTCGTTTGTATCGAAACGAAGAACGAGCTTCTCGCCCTCGTTCCCCTTCTGCCCATTTTTCATCCGTTCCTCGTCGCCGATGCCCTCTCCAGGTTCTGGTTCTGGTTCGTCAAGGGAGAGGTTTGGGTAAGGGTTTTCCAGCACTGACCCAAACTGTTACTGCTGCTGCCATTTCTTTTCTTCATCGTATGAAATGCTTTGTGCTGCTTTCAGAGTTTCAGTTCAACGAAGACGCCATGGAACCTGCAACTATATTACATCCTGAGGAGGTATGGGATCGTTTTTGTACGTAATATTTTATAGCGTGGAGATCATTTATAGTACATCTTTCTCTTTCTACTTCTCCTCCCGAGGCAGGAAGAGAAGGCCGCCGCTCTCGTCCTGCTCCAGCCCCGGCTCCAGCTCCGCCCCACCCAACACGCGTGCCAACCACTCCATCTCGTCCTCCTCCACCTCCTTCGCATCCTCCATTACCCCCGCTGAGTTCGAGTCCGTCCTTGCGACCCATCGACCACCGCCGTCATCGCGCTCCGCGGCCCAGTGGGCGGGCCAGAAGCGGGAGACACCGGCCACCACCCCGCGCGTGTCGACGCTGGCCATCACGGTAGACGAGGAGTCCGAGAAAGTGGCACCGCAGGTCTCCTCTCTGCCGCCGTCGGCCTGCGCGAACGCTTGCGGCCCTGCCCCCGGCCCCACGGTGGCCCCGCTCATCTCTCGCTCCAGCCACCTCATCACCTCCTCCACCGCCTCTTCTTCCACCTCTACTATCTCGTCCTCCTCATCGAGTGATATCATCGGGACGTCCGCTTCATCGGATTCCTGATCCTGCAGCACGGTGGTCCGGCAACGGGGCATCTCCCTCCCGTCTACTTCCATCAGCGGTCAGCGTGGAGTCGACCGAGACCAGTGGCAGGTGAGACCGTGATGTGCAGGAATTACTAATACCCCGGTATATATAAGAGATCCACAAAGACGGTGTGTGGGGGCGACGGATGTGGCATCGCTGATGTGGTGGTCGGAAAGAAGAGGAGAGGGAGGTGGGTGGCAGTTTCGGGGGAACAGATGCAGCATCACGAGGAATTAATTTCTCGGTCAGTTTCCGTCTCTTTCTTGGAGGAAAAAGGGTGGTTACACGACTTTTGTGGCCTCGTCCTCCTCCTCCCCTTTCAACGTCTCAATTTTGTGCTTTTTCGCGGTGGTGCAGACGCGTTGTCTTTGTCTTTTCCAGTCGCTGCCGCTGCTGTTTTGATATTGGAATATTTTCCCTGTCCTCGAGTCACCCCGCATTGGCTGGACCGCAAAGGTTTGCTGTCTTATTTTTAGAGCAGTGCTTGTTCTTTTTTACCAGCCGGTCTCAACTATCAGTCTTTACTGATTTGACACAGCTGCGGGGCCTTCTACTTTGCCGGGCAAGAACGGGAAATGCGCAAGCTATGAGTGTTGGATGGACAAGCAGACGCATCGCCACGATTCTCGGAACACTCACTGTTGAAGGATTTTTTTTTGGGTGAGATTTTGCCTATCCTATTTCTTCTTTGGACCAAACAAAATAATTCTCGTGGTAATATCAGTTTCGTTGTTTGTAGATGAGATGGTGTTCAAATGGTATTGATTGAGATGCAACACAACAGGGGAAAAAGAAAAAAGAAGTGCCAAAGAATGCTTCAAAAGACTACTAATGGCAAGATATTCTATTGGTAGTAGAGTAGATTTCTCCTTGATTTTTTTCTTCTATTGGCCTCAATAAGTAGATTGTTTTAATCACCCTGCTTTCTTCATATATTCAATGCCTTTGTCTAAAACAATAAATATATAAGTGAGATATACACAAAACCAAATTATTTGGCAATAAAAACTAAACAGTCAATCTACAAAGAGGATAAGACTCATTTGACACTAAAAACAAATCATTAAAGTAATACTAGTGAGAAAAGATTATCTGTAAATTTTTTTAGATGCAATAATTTCTTTTACGATGTTTCAACAAAGACATATTATGTGTATTATTGACAACTTGTTTTTTTATTTAAAATGTGTTGTTTTTAGGGTGAATTTGATGAGATATTCTATGGACATAAAGATGATAGAGTCGTGGTTTCAATTGTATCATGATGACTCCATATTACGAGAACTTTATGAGGAAGCATTAGAGTACGAAAATGAAAACAATCTTATTTTGCTAGATAATAATAAGACATCATAGACAATAATTGAACTAATAATAAGAAACAAATGCTTTCCTACAATGTAGGAACTTTATTCGATTGTTCAATTTTAAAAAGAACCTATTTCAATAATCTCTTTCCTTATATAACAACAATAAAATCGTAAGTCTCAACTATTTGGGATTGGCTACATAGATCTTTTGTCGCCATTAAGATATGTAAAAGTCATATATTTAGTTAAGTCTAGAATACTTCAATTTTTATTTATAGTTTTTATTAAAGTCTTTTTATGTTTTCCTCTATCTCTCATCGTATCATTAGTATTAATCATATCATCTCATCTTATTCTTTATCAAAGTGATACCTAGTCTTCTGGTTTTGTATCTCAATTAACACCGTTTAAAACTCCATCTGTATCTTTATTTTGGTACACTCAAGCTGCCTCAGTGTGTGGAGCTAATTGTCCATTATTTGGCTTCACCTTCACCATGGAAAGTCTTTGCTACAGGTGTCTAGTAGATCTTTTCTCCATATAGAATTTGTAATGTGGAACCTAATATTCTATGATTGGCTTCTATAATGACAATTTACTTATTATTGAACTTCACGACATTCGTCAAGATTATGATTTTTAAAATTTCTATGTTGATTGGACATTTGCAATTTCATAAAATCTTCATGTGAGCATTATTTCCTTTTATGATACTTTTAAGCATGAAACCTTATGATGCTTTTAAACATGAAACATTTACATTAACAATTCATGACTTAAAAAATCTGACAAAAATAAGGAAGTCAATCATGAATATAAATATATAAATATATAAATATATATATGTACATATATTAAAAACATTTATAAGTGAACTAAAGCCATGCAAGTTATATATGAAAAAAAATTTATTATAGTTTCATAGTTCTGTTACTCTACAAAACCTAGATTTTTCTTAATCTAGTTTCTTAGACTAATATCATTCTTTATGCCATTATCATATTTGAAATTAAGACAGAAGTGAGGTTTACTGCACTTGCATTACTAGGTAATAATGCTAGATAGTTCCTGGTGATTGAACATGTTCTGTTCTGTGTTAGCATTTTCATGATGTTGTTGACATGGCATCACAAGATAATTGATGATTTCTTTTGGGTTTTTGTACTTGATATCAATTTGGATCGAACGACTTATCCTCCATTTGATGTTTATTGCCCATATGCGAGAAGATGCTGAAAGGTCTCACAAAACAAAAGGTAATTTACGTGAGTTCCAAATGATATTGTTGCTTTTAGCATTTGTTGGTGGTCTCATTTCTAAGCCCAAACTCTTAACTATAGTCTGTTCTTTGCACAGCCTGGCGCATACTGACTTGGCTCGTGGCCTGGGACTCGAAAGCTTCCATCATCAATCTACCACTTTGGCCGAGGACATGTTTGGATGAGCCAAACAAGGCAAGGAAAAGCAGGATAAGAATTAAGAGGAATAGAACAACAAAAAGAGAAGAAAAAGGAGCGGAAAAGGGCACAATTTGATGCAGGCACTGCAAAGATGTTCTCTCCAAGACTTAATCGAAGTATGTAGTCTTAACTGTAGAGCTATAATGTCGTTCCAGCTACGTTGCTCTGTTTATGCTGCTAAACATTTTACCTTTAAATTGTTACTTCCAGGCGTGTTATCCCCTCCAGGAGAAGTTGTTGCCATTCTTGTTCTGAGGTCCAATGAAATTAGGACATTTCTTGAGGTAATTTACTTGATTTAAGTCCTCTCATTTTGTTGTCATCGTTTTTACTGTAAAGTTCATTGGCAGTCTATGCTTCTCACAGCAAAGCCGGAAAAATCCAAAGAGAAATGTCATCTTGAGATGGCCTTCTCTGCATTGGCGTGTCGTGGTTGGGTCCCACCTGGTACGATTTCTCTCTTGTCGCCTGTGGGTAGACTTCCCAAGCAAAACACTTTTCCTTCTCATTTCGCCATCATAAACGGGCTCCGTCACCTGTGACCAGCGTCCTCCGTCTGATCATGGTCCAACGGTTGACGATGAATCTCCAACGTGATCGCTGCGATCAAGAAACATAACGAATGGGGAACCTCATGTCCCACAGAAGTCACGTTCTTTGCGTGCTCTCCTCGCCTTTCTCTCTCTCTCCGTGATCGCATCCGAAGGTACCGTCTTCTTTCCCCGCCTTCCCATTTTGCGCCAGAATGTTGGAGAAATTACGCGCTCGAGTTGGTTTATTTGTTGGATCATCTTGTTTCTTACGATCCTTGCTTTCGATTGGTTGATTGAAGTTGCTACTTACGGGTTGCTGTACACTAGGGTATCAGTTCTACAGCAATCGCCTGTTACGATTCCTATTTCTTGTTTCCTTCTTTTTTTCTTGATCTTTCTATCTGGCGCTGTAAATGGGCTCCTCGATCGATCTTTTAGTTTGCGTAGATTTCGTTCTTAGTGCTATTTTTCTTTCTTGTTCTTTTCTTGGAATTTGTGGTTGAGAATTTCTGATTTACGGATGTTACGATTTGTTAGTTGGATCTTTGTTAATTCTTGAGTGGAATCTTGTGATGTAGTTTTCAGTTTTCACCGTGGGGATCTTGGAATTTCTTTTATTTATGTATAGTAGGAGAGTCTGGCTGTTCTCTTGGGTTTTTCGCAGGACGACTTTTACAGCACTGCAAATGGTTAGTTTTGTGAATAGAACGCAGTCTCTCTGTTTGGGTTTTATGTCATTTGCATTTTGGATTGTCATGATTGAGTGCAAATGATATGAAAGGAAAACTTAAAGAATTCCAAGATATCTTCCTGTACTTGGCCAAAAATTTTTTTGGTGATTCGATTATTTTTCTTTTGTTTGGATTATAACATGCGGCATCTAAGGCTTTTGAAGGTTACCAAGTAAATATACTTTTCTATCATATCTTGGAAATCATGGTCCAAGGTTTATATCTTGAGCTATGGTCTGCTTAGTATATCTTCGTCCTTGAATATAGGCTTTCCCGTGAAAATGGTTGTGGCCCAAAACAGCATTGACATGGAGGAGGGAAGCTTGGAGATTGGCATGGGTATGCTACAGTATATCTCTGTTGCCTATGATGCATTTTTGTTTCCATACGAACAAAGTTTGGTCCATTTCTCAACCACAGTTGGCAAAAATAATATTCTTATATCCTCTTTGAGGTTTTGAGATAGTGCTGTTTGTATTTCTTTTTTATTCCTCAAATAACTATCTGCTTGTTTTAATCCTGCATCCATAGAAATGTTGGATTGAATGTGATTTTTCTATTTTCCCTTCAAAAGAAAAGGAAAGGACACAAAGCTTGAGCCATATATTGTATGATGCCATATTGTATGATGCCTTTTGTTTGAGGACAGTGAGATTTTTTACTCTGGGCTTTCTGATTTGATAAAAGCCTTTCAGTGTGTACATAATCTACCATGTCATTAAACTCAGTTCACACTCATCAACTTAAGTCAATTGGATATCTTAATGCTGTATACCACTAGCAGAAGAAGATATATACAAAATTATAAAGGACAAAAGACTTCGATGATATTGCTCATACGGGGTTATATGCTGCTAATTGGTTTATTGATACAAAATGTTACTTTAAAGTACAAGGAAGAAATGGCAATCACATGTGCAACGTGACCTTTCTGTTTAGTAACTCATCAAAAGTCTAGACTGCAGTTTATATGAACCATAGACTATAGCTTTTAGAGGTCAAGTGTACTCCAGAGGCAACCAAACTGAGAGGCAAGTTAAAACAAAAGGCATGTAAAAGGTAAAATAAGAATTGAAAAAAAAAGCATGTGGCACCTTTACCTCAAAATTCCAAAGATAATTTTATTAGTCAGACACAAATTCAGTACATTTTTACTAGTAATGTTTTGCACAACAAACCGATCATCTCATGCTCTCATTAAGAAATGGACAGACATGCTAAACTGAACAAAAAAGAAGATTTTGTTTCTGAGCAATCAGAAAGATGATGCTTGGATCTTGACCACAAGTACTGTAAGAAGAGAGAAATTATACTAACATGGTTCTAGTTCTAGTCGTTATTTGGATGTGCTAGCTAAATCCAACCTTATGCAAAAGAAATGGTTAATTATATGGGACATGTACAACCAAAGAAACATACTACCATCTTTCTTTAGGCCGTATTAGCACCTCTTCTTTTATTTGAATATGCTTCATTATTAGCTTGGTTTTCTCTTTGGAGGTACTGACACACTTGTGCAGCTTGATGCCCATATTGATCTCATCAATGTTACCTTTTAGTTCTCATGACAAGTTATAGATTAACATGTTTCTTTCTTGAATTTTCATTAACCCTGTTGAATAATAGTTGGCCATATCCCCTATAGTTGTAATTCTGGGCCTTCTATTTTCTGTGTACAGAATACAGGACTGTTTCTGGAGTGGCAGGTCCTCTTGTCATCCTGGACAAAGTTAAGGTGTGTCTGCTGTCTACTTTTACCTTTTACTGATAATTTACTTTATTTACATGTGCCTACAGAATTTCTCCTGTGCAGAGTTACTTATAGCATTATTATTTGATGCTTGAACTTAGAATTCAAAATTTACAACTGATTTATTGTTTCCCATCATTTTATTTTAGGGTCCTAAATATCAAGAAATTGTTAATATACGTTTGGGAGATGGCACAACTCGACGTGGTCAGGTCCTGGAAGTAGATGGGGAAAAGGCTGTTGTTCAGGTTGGTAATAATCTTTTTCTCTGTTTTCTTATTTGATGATACAATCAATAAATAGTGTATGAAATAACATTTACCACTTCTTTATGCTCCAGAGTTTTTTTTTCTCACTTTTTTTGTTGATTAGAGCATGCTAGCTCTTAGCGATGACACGTAGTGAATGTCTTTGCTACTTGATTTTAGTGTCAGTCTTGCTTGGGTTTTCTGGTCAAAGGCCAAAAAGATTTTATAATTAAGTGTGGTATTTTTACTATTTAACTACTGCTTGGATCTGTTTAATGTGGTGCTAGATTAATTGAAATATTGAACATGCTATCTTGCTTCTCTGCCAGGTGATGTCATCTTCACAGTTGTCTGTCTTAACAAACATATACATAGATTTACATTTATCTTCTGCAATGTCTTCAGATTTACAGATTTTTGTGGTTTATACTTTATACTTTATAGTACCATTTTCTTTCTAGCTACTTGATGCTAGTATGTAGTACTGTTATCAAATGTGATTTAACTGTCTATTTGGCATCACATCCTGTTCTTTAGTTCATAGACTATCTATTTGTATATTTGATAACCTTTTTGGTTTTTATTGTTCACATGATTTTATCATTGTGCTATCCCCATCTCAGGTATTTGAGGGAACTTCTGGCATTGACAATAAATATACAACTGTTCAGTTCACAGGAGAGGTATGGTATTTTATTTTAAGTTTCTACTTCTGAACTTTATGATGGCATATGTTTCTATTTGTTGTCTGATTTATGTAATTTCATCATTATTATCCAGAATTTTGTCATGAAATTCAGAGTCTTTTTGAGAAAGCCATTTGCAGAGATGCTTCAATGTTTTTGTATCATGTAAACCTTGAATTGTTCAATTCTAAACCCCTTTGTCTCCATCCCATGTCTGCTTATGTAATCGTGTTAAGGAGTGTTGGAACAAAAGTCAGATTGATGTTAGCTAAGGGTGATGTGATTAAGATTGGTAGGGTGAATCAGATCAGATTAGCGAGATTAGGATAAAACAAGAAAATAGTTTTTAAAAATAAAAAATAGAATGCAGTGAAACATTTGAATATATAAATTTTATATAAAATATATAAATAATAAAAAATAGATCCAAAATTTATCTGCTTGCAGCTATAAAGATAGTTATGTGCACAATTGATTTTCTAATTACCTTTTGTTGAAGTGTTGGGTGATGTAAAAACTATAAGAAAATATTTTATTTAAATAGAACATCCGTGGGTATTCTTAATCTCATCTCACTTATTCATGATTGCATCTCTATTATCTTAAAGAGTTCAATGTTAAATCTTTTTTATTTTGGTTTTGGCAACTTGAAGAGAAACATTGGCCTCTTGTACTATGTAGTGTATATGCTTTCCCTTGCATAGATATATTGGCATATTTTGGTCCTAGGGATTAATTTTTCCTCTCTTTCCGTTACACAGGTCCTCAAGACACCTGTGTCACTGGATATGCTTGGACGAATTTTTAACGGTTCAGGAAAACCTATTGACAATGGCCCACCTGTATTACCTGAGGCATACTTGGATATCTCTGGTATATTGTGGAAGACCAAATTCTCACGTTTGACACCATTTCAGCTTTCTTGTTTATCCTACTTCCGTTTCTTAGGAAGTATGGAAATTCTTATGAATTATTCATGAATTTCCTTGTAGGAAGTTCCATCAATCCTAGTGAGAGAACATATCCTGAAGAAATGATTCAAACAGGGATTTCTACAATAGATGTGATGAACTCCATTGCTCGTGGTCAAAAAATCCCTCTTTTCTCTGCTGCTGGGCTTCCACATAATGAAATTGCTGCTCAGATTTGTCGTCAGGCTGGTCTTGTGAAGAGGCTGGAAAAATCTGATAATCTCTTGGAGGTAAGCAACTATAGAGTACTAGAAAGATGCTTTGTGACTTTTGACTTCTTTTGTTTCTAAGAAAGTTTTTCTTTTCATAAATGTTGAACAAATGAAAATAGGTTTTCTTAAATAGTGGTATGAGCATATCCTCTTCAAACCTCACACAAGGTCATCTTTGGAGAAAAAAGGTCATCAGAACTAGGCACATCAACTTTTGTCAATCGATGTTATTAAACAAACTTTATAAAGCATCATAAATTAAACATAGACTTGGTTTTTAAAATAACAGAATGCTTTTTTAAAAACCTAAGATTATGTTATTTTAAAAAGCAAGCCAATGCTTATAATCTATGATGTTAAAATAACATAATGCCTTTTAAAAACCTAAGATTATAATCTATGATGTTATTTTAAAAATCAAGCCTATGCTTATAATCTATGTTGTTTTGCAAAGTTTGTTCACTGACATCAGTTGGCATTAAGTTGTTGCAGCCTACTTTAGAAGTTAATTTGCCTAGTTTTAATGGCCTTAAAATAACATTATGCTTTTTAAAGACCTAAGATCATGAATAAGAAAAAGGACTAAGATCAAGTTTCTTATGCATGAGCTGACTGTAAACTTAGTTGTTATTAATGATCTCATGCATCCTGTTTGTTCTGTCATTTAATCTGAAAGAAGCATCACTTAACTGACTTTTATATGGTATAAAATTTCCAATAATTGCTTATCCGCATTTCAATTTTGGTGCAATACTTTTCTTATTTTGCATGTAGTTTAAAATTTTCCTCTGAAATTGATAGGATGGTGAAGAGGACAATTTTGCTATAGTGTTTGCAGCAATGGGAGTCAACATGGAAACAGCACAGTTTTTCAAGCGTGATTTTGAAGAAAATGGTTCAATGGAGAGAGTGACACTTTTCCTAAATCTGGTACCTTTTCTAGAATATGTGCAAACCATCATGTTCTAAATTCAGCTAACGTTGACTCAGGGATAAGAAGCCTTTGATGCTTTTATGATTTCATCTTTAGTATCATTATATTTCAGGCAAATGACCCAACAATTGAACGAATTATTACGCCTCGAATCGCTCTCACGACTGCAGAATATCTAGCTTATGAATGTGGCAAGCATGTTCTTGTCATCCTGACTGACATGAGCTCATATGCTGATGCGCTTCGTGAGGTGACATCACTTTTCAGAGTCTAGTTTATGTAATATCTTCTGTTGCCAGGTGGTGGATTTTTTCTGAGTAGTAGTTAGGATCCTACTTGTTTCTGTACTGCACTTCTGCTTCAGAAAGAATGTCAAGACCATGTCCATCGTATTACTATGCTTGCTTTATTTATTGTGCTTAATATATTTGTTATCGATTTTTCTATGCATTATTTAGATTGTACAGTCATGAGAACTATTTCTTTAGAAACCAATTTTATGCATGATCCACTCTCTCAAAGCTATAAATATATGTGTGTGCTTCTTGCAAATTGCTTGTATAAAAAGATTGCAAATTTTTAGAGGCTTGTGCAAGAGACTGATTCTCAGCCTTGGGATTTTGAACTTCTCCGTTTCTCTCTGACATTTCTTGAATTTATCATTGTCAATCTGATTAGGTGTCTGCTGCTCGAGAGGAGGTGCCAGGTCGACGTGGTTATCCAGGCTATATGTATACCGATCTCGCAACAATATATGAACGTGCTGGTCGTATAGAAGGAAGAAAGGGCTCTATCACACAGATACCGATCTTAACTATGCCAAATGATGGTACCGTATAGGTTTCCTAATATTAATGAATTTACTTTTCATTTTAGTGTTGGAACTTGCCAGAGGTGGAAAAAAAAAAAGAAGCTTTCTGGTTTTTTTGAGGCCTTGCTTAAAGTTTATTTATTCTAAGATACCACTTTGTTTCCTTATCTTCTACATTTTTTAGATTACATGCAAAGCGGGTGGCTAATGGCTTAATGTTTTCCAACAGATATTACGCATCCCACTCCAGATCTTACAGGCTATATCACCGAGGGCCAAATCTATATTGACAGGCAACTTCACAATCGACAGGTATTCCATGTTATAATATATATTTTTTTTTCTTTTTTGGCTTGAACTTTTTGGTGCCATTATTTATTTGTTAGTTTGGTTTGCTGATGGATTATAAAATTAATTTTTGAATTTGTCTGACAGATTTATCCACCTATCAATGTGCTGCCATCTCTCTCACGGTTGATGAAGGTTAGCTTCTTCATGGGGGGAGGACCCTGTTCGGTTGAAGTGGACACCATTTATTAGCAGCTAAGGTAGCTGTTAATTTACCTCTTTGCTAATTTTCTCTTTTTGCAGAGTGCCATTGGGGAGGGTATGACTCGTCGTGATCATGCTGATGTGTCTAACCAGGTTGGTGACTGATTTAAAACTTTTTCCTTGCCGGTGGTTGGATGGCTTTTTTGACGTTGGAAATCTCTCTTCCTCTTTTTTGACAACCTGCATTTCAGTTGTATGCCAATTATGCAATTGGGAAGGACGTTCAAGCAATGAAAGCAGTTGTCGGAGAGGAAGCACTCTCGTCTGAGGATTTGGTTCTCTCTCTCGCTCGCTCTCTGTCTCTGCATTTCACTTTTGTGATGCTAATAACCCTGCTTACTTACTAATCTTGTGGTTGAAACTGCAGCTGTACTTGGAGTTCCTAGACAAGTTTGAAAGGAAGTTTGTAACTCAAGGAGCGTATGATACCCGTAATATCTTCCAGTCGCTTGATCTTGCCTGGACCATGCTACGCATCTTTCCCCGAGAGCTTCTCCACCGTATACCTGCCAAGACTTTAGATCAGTACTATAGCCGCGATGCTGCTCACTGAGAGATGCAAAGATGATAGCTCACCACCGTATACCTGCCACGACTTTAGATCAGTAGTACTATAGCCACGATGCTGCTCACTGAGAAGCAAAGATGCCTTTTTCTTTTTCTTCTTCTTAAATTATGGAGGAGCCAAAGATGAATAATATGCCGCTTCTACCTTTTATCGCGGTGTTTATCTTTGGCTTGTCTGATATCAATAAAATGTCCAACTGCAAATTATTTTATGTACCGTATATGATGATAATCTATGAACAAAAGATTCTTGTGGATGAAAGCAACTGATTCCAGACCTGTCCAAGCCCTCCTGAAGTCAAAGTTTGTCCATCACCTAATGACTCCGATTAGGAAAGGAAAGGAATTATGGATGGATCCACCACTGGATCCTATTCAAACTCCTCTATAGATATATAACAATATAATATCTGCATGAAAAAAAATTCAGTCAAAAGAAACAATAATACGGTGAAACCAAAGGGCAGAAATGTATGGAACTCAACAAACTTGGCTGTGCAAAATCTTCCACGCCTATTCACACGATGATATATAACTTATTCCTGTGAAAACGCCCAAAAACACTTCAACCAGTATCCAGAAACAAAAACAATTTGCCATTAGGTCTTCTCTGCTAAGAAGAAGCCAAAAATTATCTTACGCTCAGTTAAGTTACTTTTCTCGGAACACACGCCGGATCAAATTATTGGCTTTCGCATGCTTCTTCCGGCAATCCAGCATTCTGAACAGCATAGCTTTTAGGTTGGTTTGGAAGCTTCGCTTTGGTGCTTGGTTCCCGTGGTTGCCGCTGTTGCAGCAGCCGAAACGGCCGCCACAGCTGCTCCTACTTTTATGCCGCCAGCAGCCTTCGTTGCTGCACCCACCTTGGTGAAAACAGCTATTCCCATTGCTAGGAGAGCTCTCAAAGCAACTGTCGGTTTCAGTTCCATACCTACTACATTGGGCCCATACAAAATGTTGAGATTATGGGAACCTTACAAATGATAAGTTAGAAGAGGGGAAAGTACAATGAAGCTATATCATGATAGTTGAAGAATCCCAATTTGTTATATACCAATGACTCATAAGATGGCTCAACAAGACACGTAAGTTCAATTATTGAATATGCTAACTGCTCCAGTTTCTCGTATGTTTATTGATTGAAACAACAAGAATTGAGAAAAACCAATTATCCAAGATCTCCAAATTATCCAAGATAAATAATTAAGAAAGGCGTATTGAGAAGATGAAACAAATTAGGCTAATAAACAGAAAAACAGAGGTCAAACAAGAAAGGACAATTTGGGGGGGGGTGGGTGGGTTTGGGAAGGGGAAAAAAGTGAAGGCCGGCAGCAAGAACTCGACATTCAATAAGATCAGAGGAAACACAGGAAAGGGTGGATGATAAATATCCCAGGAAATAACGCTGACTTAGGCCTTCATCTCAAACAGAAAACTATTTTTTTCCCCTCAGTATTTTGCCATCAGTAAGTGCATTTTGATAAACATTCAGAAAAATGACATTCACTAAAATGAAACATCCAAAATGAACTTAACCTATCTGCTGTCGTCATACCATGTACAATAGAGTTCTGGACCATTTGCAACACAATAAAATTTTCTTGTAAATTCATTCATATTATCCGAGTATGTCAAGTTTTGTCAAAACAAACAGGTGTTCACCACAAAACTACTCCAGCTTGTAAATCATAGATGCTCCAGTGTCCAGCTTTGACCAATTTGCAGTTTGACTCATATGATGCCAAGTGACAAACACAAACATCAAGGTGGCTAGCTAATGTGTCATCCACTTGGCACTAAGTGGCAGACACATGCTATGGACCTTTCTGGAATTCCTATTAGAACTAGTGTCATCCACATGGCACTAAGTTGATTTCGATAAAGCCTATGATAGAGTTCCCATATGATTTATTATGGTGGGGTTTAGAAAAAAAAAAAAAAAAGATGCATCGACTAATTATATTGATGTTATTAAAGATATATATGATAATATAGCCATTAGTGTTAGAACTATAAAGAGTGTGTCTAATGAGTTTCGACTACATCAAAGATCTACATTAAGTCTACACCTTTTCACATTAATAATGGATGAACTTATTTATCGATGACAATGTCTTAATTGATGAGAACGTAGGCAACCCTTTGAAACTTGAGATTTTAGATTAATTAGGACTAAAACTAAACATATGAGATGAAATTTTAGCAATATTAGGAATAGACATGAGGGTATAGCTAGGTTGGATGAAATTTTAGTAACATTAGGTATCTTGGATCAATTACTCAACAAAATATATTATTTATAGAGTAAAAATAGGATAGTTAAAATAATGAGAGGAATCAAGAATCTTATGTGTTCAACTTTGAGATTAAAAGATAAATTTTATAAAATAATGGTGAGACCAACATTGTGCTATGGATCAAGTGTTGGATAATTAATAAAAAACATATACAAAAGCTTATGTTATCGAGATGTGAATGTTGAGATAGATATGTGGAGTTACTATGAGAGATAGAAAAAGAAAGTTTTTGCTAACAATTAGATATTGTTTCGATAGAAAATAAAATTCTATGGATATGTCCTCATGAGACCTAAAAACATGGTAGTCAAAAGAGATAAGATAAAAACTATTAGTCGTACAATGAGAGGTACAGAAAGACCTAAAAAGATTTTAGCAGAAAACTATAAATAAAAATTTAAATTCTCTAAACTGAGCATATGATGCAAAAGATCCATATAGTCAAATGTAGTCTATTCCAAATAATTGAGATTTTATGGCATTATTGTTGTGTTATACTTACATCTATAGGAAAATATTTCATAGAACTTGATAGCACGATTGACAGATGAACTCCTCTAGAAATGATATGTTTGCGAGGCTGGGTAAGCTAAGTACACATGCACCAAAATAAGTTACAAAAAATGAGCTTAAGCAAATTGTGTTACTTTAAGGTCTCAAACCAAGTCTATCTTCCATCCATAAAAAAGTCAGCATGGAATTCTAAGAAACTATAGTCAGATTCCATATGCACCGATGACACATACACCTACGTGGTCACAGTGACTATTAGCATGCATACCTACAGCCGATCACATGCAAGATGCATCGAGCCTCCTCACAATAAGGGCCTAGAGCATCTACAATACATGGGATCCATCACCTTCCAACATAACCAAGCTGTACAAATTATAGGAGGGGAAGTTGTAATAATGAAATACCAAAAGGGCTCCCTCCTAACCCATCAAGAAGCTGTACCTTTCTGGAATTCCTCTTGATCTTTCTGATTAGAACCAGACTAACAATTCTTTCAAAAGGAGGTCACCACGAAATTAGTCGTCAACAGGAAATCATCCTCTGTGGTGACGAAACTACCAGCAAGACGAAGAGAATCAAAATGAACACCCCGATGTCCGAACTATTTCAGGTTTTCTTTCTTTTCCTCCCGCCAAAAATCCCTTCTCGAACTCATACCTTGACCAAAACCATCCCATTGTAGGGTTTCCCAAGATTCAAAACAGTAAACCCTAAGATTTTGGTACCAACCCTAACCCTTGACGGACTCAAGAAGAGGCTTCCAACTGGAAAAGATACGATAGAAGATAAGAAATATTCGAGTGCAGATAAAGAACGCGAAGCTTCAAAGGAAATCGCACCTCAGAACGAGCAGTCGATGATGAGATCGAGATGCGTTTTGACAGTAAGCCTCTCCTCCAATATATATATATATATATATATATATATATATATATATATATATATATATGTATCCCTGTACGCTGCGGTATTTGCCGTCTGATTAGAAACGGATGGCCTACATTGAGCGCGGCTGTCTCATGTGAATTAGCACGGTCCACGTGGCAGAATGGTTTGCCTGACGTGCTGTAAATCCTTATTGAAATGAAGGCCGAATTTCCAATAAAAACTCATAATTTTAGAAATTTTTTTATAGAGTATTTTAATTTTAAAAAATTCTCAGATAATATTTTTTTTTCTCAAAATGACCATTTTATCTTCGCTAGCTATTGTCTTCTGTTTGTCGATTGTCTTTCTCTCCTCCCACAATCACCTACGTCTTTATGTATAAGTTACTCCGTTGATCACCCTCCTTCATCGCGCACATAGGATAATACTGTCGATTACCATTCTCTTTGATTGTGATACCTTTAGAGCCTAACGAGAGATAATGATAAAAGTGGCACAAGAAAAAAGAGGTAATGGTGGTTCCGATGAAGATGAGGGAAAAATAATCATTTCACATGATGCGAGTGTTATCATTTTGATTTTTTAATAAATCATAAATAATTTATAATCATTTATAAGCTTTTTTCAGAAATTCAAATGGCCATAAAATGATTTAGAATCATTTTAAATGTTATTTTATTTGAATTTGAATACAACCATCCAAATCAAGTCTGATGCATACTTTTTCCTATCTGAAATTTATGCCAATTTGTGATATTTGGGACATGATCAGCCATGTCAAGTAGCTTTACTGGACAATTTTGTGGGCCTTCAGCGTTGCCATTAATCATGTTTAGTAGCATTACTGATCTCTGCCTGCCCTTTGCTAGAGAGCCTGAGACACTTTTCTCTCTCTCTCGTGTGTATATATATATATATGTATATATATATAGTGACTGACTAAATCAACATGTTTAGTTGCATGACTGATCTATGTATGCATCAGTTCTTTGATCGAGTTAGAGACAACTCTTTTCTATTATATATACATATATATTGTAGCCTAAAGATATTGAGAGTAGTTAGAATTAGATGAACTTTGTTATCTTTGCCTGCTAGCACAATATAATACGGCTCTTGGGAATGAACGAGCCAAATTATCTATCATAGCCTTTGCCACTTCATACAACAAGAGATCAACAAATGAATGGTTGATTAGTAGCTCAAAATGTGATTGAGAATGAGTGTCGCTCATGAAGTAAATATGATAGACTGCTTGTATCCTATCAATAAATAAGACGAAACCGCATATGGAAACTCTTTTGAAGACGATTGATGCACTCAGAGTTACTCCAAAAGATCACCCGAGTCCTCGAGGAACCACCACTGTGAGGAGGCACGTTCCCTACCAACATCATCAAGAATACCTCAGCATAAGAGAACCTGGTCCAGCTTGTTCCTCAAATAGCATTAGTACCTTTCTTGATGATAAAATGCTGGTCAATGAAGGAACGAAGACGGGAACCGATGTCACTAGCAAATAAAAATTCACCGAAAAACATCCTCCTCCTCCTCGGCGCCACTGCTGTATGTTTCAAGGTAGGCCTCTTCACCTTCATCCTGATATGGGCACAAGTCGTATGTCAAAAATCCATGTTATGGTGGGGAAAAAAGCTTTAGTTCCCGCAAAAAATACATTCAGTTACATTAACTTGCAGAAGAGGTTGGTTGAAGCTTTCCAAGGGATTTTAATGTTTATGAAAACTAGTTCATATACAAAATCCTACGTGTCGATCTACCTAGCTCATGGAAGAACCTACAGTTAGGCAAACATTATGTCATCCTTTTGATTGCCAAACTAGTTACTAGCAAATTGGCACGGGCAGATAACTGAAAGTTTGGATAGCTTTAGGAACAAATTATAGTGCATAGTTTACAAATGAACCTGAAAGACAATAGTCTGTGAACTCACCTCCACATCGTCATCCGAAAATAAATCAACCGGCAGGTCCAAGTCCTTCTCTCCTGGTCCCTTATCATCCTCCATTTGCTCCTGTAGACAAATGGCAGCAAATGAAACTAGTTCGAGAAGAACCAACATGTACTCAAATATGGAATTAAAACATGAAGAAATAACGGTTTCCAGAACAAAAAAAGTGAATTAACTAGATAATTCATACTAATTGAGATGTTAGAATCTGAATCTTCTCCTGTAGACTTGAAATATGATGAATCAGGGCCTGAAAATTCACACATTGTGGAAGAGATGGATCAGAAGAAGTACAACATCTGTGAGACAAAACAGAAGTAAATAAATGCAATGATGTTACCTCCCGTCTCTGAAGCTCTATAGAGCGTGCTAATGCCTGCCTCCTTGTTAACAGATTTTTGGGCCTCAAAGTTGGAGGCCGCTGATAGTTCTTACCACGGTATATGATAATTGCATAGCCCTTCGTAGTTTTATCAAGTGAAATCAATACTCCACCACTCTCAGCCTCAAGGGAAATTGCATAGTGTTTTACTTGTGCAAAACTTTTTCCCTTCACAAGAATCTTGACAAGTTCTCTATGCTTCCAGTTCAAGTGCATATTTTCAACAGTTCCATCAAAAACTCCCCGTCTCCCTGAGGAATGGACATAGAGTAATATGGTGAAAATAACTGTTAACCATCATCATCTGCATTAGATTCAAAACAGTCGAAAGCAATACAGATATACTGATCTTACCAAGAAGTAGAGCACCCCGCATCTTAAGACCAATGTTACGAAATAAGGCCCGCTCCTCATCACTGACAGTCTCTAAATCAATTGGAAGATCTGCTGGTTTCAGGAATTCCTGCACTTTGGACAAAGCCTTCTCTGCTTTCCTGACCTTAATTTTTGCCTGATAATTGAAAGAGAATGTGATGTAGCTATTAATGATCAAGTTCAATAATGTCCAAATGGCTTCCGATGGAAGCCTAAAGAGGGTAATCTTTGACATACAGTAGACATAGTGGAGATCTTACAAATACTAGCTTTCTTTCAAGGTATCGAACAAGAGATGCATGTTTAGCTAAAACCATATCCTTCTTTAGCATTTCTCTTTCCTCAGCACTAAATGGATTTCCCCAGCGACTCTTGGCCTCCAGAGTCTCTGCAAGTGTACCAGCAACTAATTGACCCTTAGGACTTTTGACATGAGCAACTATCGATGTTGATGCCCTTAACCGGGCTATTTCTTCCTCATCCTGGTGAATAGACGCTAGTTTCTGTTTCTCCGACAGCACCTCCATAACTGAAGATGTCACAAAATCATTACCTCTATAGAAGACGATATACTCCTTGTTCCTAGAAACAAGCACTCCCCCTGTCAATTTCTGCAGATAGATTTGTGAAGTCAGAACTATATTGCAGTTATAGTGACACCAATAAACAGACAATTTTTAACCCAAAAAACGAAAAAAATATGACATGCACATGCAGAGAGAAGGGCAACATATGTACATTAGATTAGTTTGATGTACCAACCAAATGTCTGTTACATCCTAAGTGACCATGCAGATCAATTGTACATTAATTATTCAGGATAATTCTGCTGAGGATTATTCATCTTTTTAAGTAGTATAACTTCATGTCATTTTCTTTGCACTCATATATACACTAATATATCATGTTTAGCAAACCAAATCTACTGAAACATTTTAAAGGACCTCAAACCTTATAATTTGAGTTACTATTACAGATGAAAACACAATTCTCTTAGATGGAAAGAGAGCATTTCTTAGTAAAGCTTTTTATTGTAAGTCAACTCTTCTTTTTTCTTAATATGAACTGATAATTTTTAGCACCTTGTTATCATTAGCAAACCACCAAGTATAAACTATGGGAACATGCATTCAAATGTTCAATTACAAAGGGATCCAAATCATTACTCTGCCATGTAATTCAGAGCCAGGAGTAACTTTTGGGGGGGTGTGAATAATAATAAATAAGTTATTTGTTAAAAATTCTAGAAGTATCGTAATTAACCTTAAACAAATTAGTCTTCCTTAAGCACTTATTTTAATATTGCAGATGAAAGATATATTCTCCTGGAATATTTCAGGAATTTGACAATACAATATTGTTATTTCAATTTGGTTAAAGCTTCCATTCTTTGGCATCAAAATATCATACTTAATGGTAAGAAGTTTGTATCCAGACACATACAATTGCCATATAGAGGAACTTATAGTAATAGTAATTTTGCAATTGACAATGAGGCAGAAAAGCGGAATCTTGTATGTTAGGGTAAATACACAGAGCTTACCATGAATGACATTATACACTAGGTAACTACAGATGCATTTGATACACGTGCAACATGCCA